CTCTTCCGATCTTATATAGATTGCCAAGCTCGGCGAACAGATCAACAGTCATCTGATCAACAACCAATAAACCCGCCTGACACGTTGATCGTGTCCAATCATTTTTATACTTTTAATTTACGATCCTTAAGATATACTAGATGCGGTCCAATTATGAGCTTCAATCTATCGTACCCTAACACGTTTTGCCGTTCGCCTACGCTCTCCACTTGTCAATCTGTGCAAAGTGTAATCCCCAAAAGAAAGCGTCATGTTAACATCGAGTAGTCGCAATCGCGAATCTCCCCCCAAGACAACTTAAGCTGCCTTCTAAGGTCCTATGCACTTTTACTATGCCAGTCTGTTATTGGCGAGGAAACGAAAGAAGCTGAAACGTTCTGAGCGTTTTTCACTCTCAGCAAGACTTCCCCGTCTCGCTATCCGGTGTAACCAGTGGATAAGGAACCGATAAACTGTTTATAACTGTTGCGTTTTAAGGCGCGTCTTCCATAGAATTCATGTTGGAAAAGTTTCTTAGACACATGTGATCTGACATTGACCTACAGCTATTCCGATTCTTTCTATCATCGGACAGCAGATCGATAGACACGTGTTGGAAAATCAATCCTTTGTGTGTGTGTGCGCATGACCTGACGGAATTTTTCTGTTTTGTATCTCACAGCAACTGCGGCTTGTCACTGACACGGATGAATACTGTTTTCAACTTGAACAGGAAAAAACAAACGATCCAACTTACTTTTGCGTTGCGGATGTGGTAGGCTGCAGGTACGGTGATGGTTTTAATTACCCATCTTTTTCCGAATTGCCTCAAATACGAAGATCAGGTGGCATTAGACCTGATATGCTGATATGCCACCCAACTTACAGACTATTAGTGCATCTAAGCTCATTTTTCTTTAACAGAATCCGTTTTTTTTAATTCAAAAATAGGGTTTCTCACACTTGTGTTTTCAACTTTTACCGAGTGCATAATGGACATTTTGTGGGGCGGAAGTTCTTCTGTAACGTTGTGAACTTTCACCGGTTGTTGGTGTTATGTTCTCTACTGATCAGTCAATCAACCTTGTCAGTTACACACGGAATTGAGAAGACAAAAAGCCTTGAGGAAATTATACTGCAGCAACTGAACAGCCAATGTCGAGATTCGAAGAATCAAGAATGGAATGGAACAAACAGTCCAATGAAAGGCTGAAATAGAGAGAGAGAGAGAGAAATGTTGAGCAATATGTTCGTTAGGAGTGCCTCCTAACTGTTGGCTTGTCGAATGCAATCACGTGATGACCACTGTTGACTACATCAATCATTCTGTCAGCTCTGTTTTGTTTTAACTGGCTCCCGTTCACTTAACCGCTAGCAGTTAGTTTCACCCAAAGCATCCGTTTGATATGGGTTCTTCATATTTTGAATTTAGATTTAGATGTTGCGGTTTTATTCACCCTTCAACTCGGACCGATTCCTTGGAACCTGAGCATGTTGTTGAAGAACCAGAAGTGAAGCCGGGTAGCACGAATATCAAGGTGGCAGCTGTGTCGAAAAGAAGCTGAAGTTTCCTAGATTCCATGAGTTAACTGAAGTTCCTAGATTCCATGAGTTGGCTGTGCCGTCAATGGATTGCATGAGTCAAGTGTAGTAGAGATTACTCATAGCTCGAGATGGTACAGTGATGAAGACGCGAAACAACTGTCACTGGCTCGAACTCGACCATCATCATCATCATCATCATCATCATCATCATCATTGACAGCATGATATCAGTGTTCAACGCCGACGCTTCACTGCCGTACAACCATGATTTATTTGAAAGCCTTATTGTACAGAAAAGAGTAAAGATGGACGGGGAAGGGACTTAGTGCTAGCTCACCACAATCATTCCGGGGTGCCTGCACCTCCAGACATTCACTCAGGCAATCTGGATAGAAACTGACAACAAGAACGCCACTGACATCGGTTGGCAGCGTCTCCAACCAGGCACAGTGAGGATTACGCGGTCCTCATCCCGGAAGGCGAGTAGCACCGACAGCACCCAAGCGTTTCGTGATCTCCTCTACCAAGTCAAGGGTTGACCGCCTCTCTGCTTACGCCACTCTGAATTGGGCATGGAAAACAGCACTCTCTTCGGCAAACGATGGTTCGGCATACGCAACACATGTCCCAACCAACGCAGCTTCTGGTGCTGGACACATTCTTCAATGGAAGTACCCGACCTTGACATCCTGACTGAACTTATCTAGACTTGGGCAACCTAGTATTTTCTCAACCCTTGTGTTTTTCCTTCCTTCACCGGAAGGGTGTTATAGCTATATTATTATTACTGATTTTGCTTTTGATTCCATATCAGCGGTCAGCGATAAACGCCGACCGATAGGCGGACCTTCTCTATCTTTCGAACGTAAGCACTGCTCAGCCGCGACGCTATTCAGATCATGAATGTTTATGAAACTCATCGGAATGCACCAGGCCGCATGTCCGTGCACGTGTGTGTATATACGACCGAGATATCTCCTATCCGCTCGATACTCTTCGTAGTTATCAACATGAGCCAGGATATCCTTGAATCGAGGGTTCGTGAGCGTTTCAGGGGACTAAGAATGATAGTCCCGTTTGAGCGAGATTGCTTATCTTCCAAGTGCGCACCAGTAGTGCCTTATCAATCTGTTTTCAATCTCTCCGTCACCTCTGAGAATAACTACACATTTTGAGGATTTTGCATCAAATTTTAAGTCCAGATGAGTAGTGCAACTTAACGCAATAGGGTGCCTTTTTCTTCAAGATCTGTCTATTAAAAGTTCTAGTAATCTCTCAAGAATTTGATCTTCGTACTTTTTGCTACATCCTGGTTTTTGGAACCAAAGTTTCTTCATCGTTTAGGTCCCTTCTGTGGGGAGCCAAACTAACTTGATGATGAATCTTACTCACAAGGAGCTTCTTGAGGGTTCCACCACGATCGGTTTGAAGATGGTTAAGTTGCTTATTTTGGAAGATGATGCGTTCGTGCTGCCTACTAGCCAAAGAGACCCCCTTAATTTTCAAGATTCTATAAACGATGAAGTTGTCATTTTCCAGAAGTGATTTCAGTCGATCAGCATCGGGGGCGAGATGGCTCGGTGATGAGAGCGCGAACTTACTGACGGGAAGATCCGTGTTTTGAAACAGACCTCTGCCTCTCGACTTCCCTTGCCTAGGCTTGGGCAACCTGGCAGTATCTCAGCTCTCGTGCAACCCTTGGGTGGAATGGCAGTTGGGCACAGAAAGGGTGCCACAGCCGGACGCTCAGCACCTTCGTCCTGTTTGCTCGTCGTGCACCAACAATCTAGATGTTTTAATCCATGGAACCTATCAAACCAGTTCCGTACGGATGACATGTAAACAATGTCAATATAATGCTGAAATTCAGCTGCCAGACCCTACGCAATGAAGGCTCGTCTGGTGGCAACTATCCGCGTTCGCATATCCTTCGGAAGTTGGGAACATCGTCCGGATGTTGGGGACACATTGTTTGAATGCATGTCGCAGTTACTTATGGCGCATGAGTCCGGAAACTATAATGTGGCTACCACTGGGCATCGGAGATGACTAGTCACGCCTACCTACCTATGACTAACGCCCATGTTTTTGTACGGAAGTTGTCCTCATTCAGGCGTCCGAAGAAATCCGCGACTACGAGAAATGCATTCAATTGCAAACCAATTTGGTTTTCACGAGGAACTCAATTTAATCTCTCGTTTATGATATTCTACAACTGAATGTGCTGCACACAGGCCGCCTCTTGTTTCACTTGGCACGATATTTGAGATATCGCAGTATATCTTCGTGAAGGAAACTACTCATAAGGTTGCTGGAAACTGTTCGACAGCCCACGACCGGTTTTGCCCTTCTTTGGGCTCATCAGGTAGGCGCAGTTCCCGAGTTTGGACTGATTTCGACAAATACACTCGTTTGCAAATCAATTTGGTTTTCACGTGAAACTCAAGTAAATCTCTCATTGATCGTGTTCTTTAAGAAGGGCGAAACCGCTCGTGGGCTGTTGAAGAGTTTTCAGCAACCTTGTAAGTAGTTTCCTTTAGGAAAATATACTGCGATATCTCGAATATCGTGCCAACTGAATCATGAGGCGGTCTGTGTGCAACACATTCAGTTGAAGAATATCATAAACGAGAGATTCAGTTGAGTCTCTCGTGAAAACCCAGTTGCTTTGCAAATCAGTGTATTTCTCGTTGGTTTTGTATCATTATGCCTGTCTGGTAACATCTCATTCATTTATGCGGCATAACCGAGGATATGGGGTCCGCCTGCCATTTGAGTACATACCTTTCTGGTGATGCTTCCTGGGTAATTCGAACAGTCTGTAGTGCGGTAGTTGTATATGTCCAGTCAGGCGTGATCTTGCTTTTCAAACCAACCTGGTTCTGTGGCTTGAAACTGCTCATTGGGAACCAGTGAAAACGGAAGGCTCCGACTCTTAATAATCTGGCTACTTATTTTTGAACAGTAGTTGAAGATTTATGTAGTTATGGTTTTTTTTGTTGGTCGAGTTTGACACTGGATTCAGCACTGGTCTTCAGTTGATTGTGATGTTTTGAGTTGGTCGTGTTTCTTCCTGCCTTATCCAGTATGCCTAAACTCCTCTGCTTTATTCGCAAAGGCGAAGTATTTGTTAGACCCTGGTTAGTGTTTCACCACATAAATGGGAACAAATGGAACGCTTGCAATCAGATTACCCAGCTCAATGAATAAACGAGCCACCTAGACTAGCAATAATCTTCTCAACAGAAGGCTAGAAAGGATTTTTCTTCTATGTAACTCTTCTGCTAACCCATAGTCATGACGTTTTTTATGGGTGTCTCCTGCACCCGTATGCTGTTTCCAAGACCGAGGGCACTGAGTCAACTACCCGACTTTGTAGCGTGAGAAACTTATTTGTGTGAAATATATAGTTGTGATGTATGTACCAAACCCTCTTAGACACCGAAAGGGTGCTACAGCTGAACGATTCATGACCGTTCATCAAGCTTCAGGCGCACGAAATGTCTCTCTTTATTGATCGAGGTCAGGCAAACAAGAAGTAGTTGGTCATGGAGCCCGGTTTTTCTGTTCGCGCTCTTGTTCACCAGGACATTAACGAAGATTTGGTTTTACCGAGCGCCACAATTTCCCGAATAATCGTGTATGAACAAAATAAGAACTGTATTTCAATTACTCTCAGTGTAATTTGCTCAACTGTCTCTTCTTCCTCTATACATCTTGCCAACTCATAGCGGAACGCTTATTGGTCCTGTGGCTAAACGCTTGCGCACGGCAGCGAATGACGAAAGCTTTAAGCACGCCCGTGAAGGCTTAGTCAAAGAGGTGGAGGAGCTTCGCCAGCAGAAGTGAGTCTTGGCATTTCCGTTTACGGTTCCACAGGTTGAAGACACGCATGTGCCAGGAGGAATTTGTGTCTAGTCTGAAAACGGAACGTTCTCGAACCGGGAAACGGTGAGTTTCTCCTGATGAAATACACCCATTTGCACACTACTTTGGTTTTGATGTGAAGGCCAACTGAATTTGTCGTTTGTAATATTCTTCAACTGATTGTGCTACACAAGGGGCGAGATGGCCCAAGTGGTTAGAGCGCGAATTTACTGACCGGAAGGTTCGTGGTTCGAATCCGACCTCCGCCACTCGACTTCTCCTGTCTAGGCTTGGGCAACCTGGCAGTATCTTAGCCCTCGTGCTTCCTTCGGTTAGCATGGCAGCTAGGTACCGGAAGGGTGCTACCAGCTGAACGCTTTCTTTTTTCTTTCTTGTGCTACACAAAGGCCGCATTATGTATCATCTGGTACGATGTTCAGGATATCGCAGGAAGGAACCCTACCCATAAGGTTGCTGAAATCTCCTCGACAGTCCGTGACCTGTTTCGCCCCTTTTGAAGCTAGTCATCATCATCATTGCCAGCTGTAATAACCGCGTACTTGTCGTACAGTGGTTGTAGCTGCCGCAGTTTCGTTCACCGATGATTTGGGGGGGCGGTATTGTTACGGTTCTGTCACGCAACGAAAGAGGAGAGTGTGACCGGCAGCTCAGTATTTGATCCAACACTTCTTCCCAGGCGGTGGACAGACCGACGCCGCCGCCAGCCGGAGCGTATCCAGGTCGACCCCCGTCGAGTACGCTACTGACTTTTCACAAGGGGAGGTGTTGGGGATATCAATATCCCCCAGAAAACGCTGTGTTTTTATGTGTGCTAGCGAACTCCCGGCATCTTCAAGGTCAAAATATGAAAAATCAATGGCCTATTGATACTCCAAGAAAATTTAAATCCGACCACGTACAGGATACCATTCTTTCCACTGACTTGGATTCGGAAGCTCCGGGCATCGCCTGTTGATTGTGTGTTGTTGGATTATTAAAGTTTGTGTCCGAGGTTTTCGTCTTCTTACTATTCGCCGTGCTAGGAGTCTGGATCAAGCAACATAGCTGGGGATAGAGTATTGCCACAATCCGCATTATCATTTTGTTTGCTCGCTGCGTGACAGAACCGTAACAGGTATGTAGCTGCCCATTGCAGGCGAGAGATGATAAATTCTTGCATAAATCCAGCACTGTCAGTGGGCTGTCCAGTGGGGGGATTGGGAAGGGAGCTATGCACTGAAGGTAATAGCTTGGATGCACGAGCGCCATTGAGGGCGCGACTGGGCCATGTCTGACAATGTCTCTAGCCATTGATGCGGACCGTCTCGGGTTCCCTAATCCAGGAAGGCGGCATTGAGCTGAGTTTGCTGGTGAGGCTAGTCCGGTAGTCACAGTCCAACTTATTTTCTCTTTGGACTCAAATTGGACGCAACTCGCGAAATGCACTCATTCGCACACTTGGATAATCCCAGATGACCTTGTCGTTTATGGTATTCTCCAACTGACTGTGTTGCACAAAGGCTGGCCCACGTTGACGATGGGTCTGTACCTTAAAAAGGACGGGATCAATTGTGGGCTGTTGATGAGTTTTGATTAACCTGATGCGGGGCGAGTTTCTTCGTATTTTCCCCGAAGATTCTCCGGGAATTTCGTTGGAGGATGCCTTTTCAAGGTTCTTGTCAACACCTACACCATCCCTTCTTCACCGAACTGAAGTACAATGCTTTCACTCTTAGTTGGAGCTATCAGGCGTTATCTTCAAGTACCGCATGCTAATCAACAGTGTCCGGATGCGTTGGATTAGCATAAGTGCCACTCAGATTGCAGACAAAAGGTCCCACAACTAGTTCTTCTAATGCCACCGTCGTCCTGCACTTGTTTTGCCCGTGAAACGTTAGAACTAATCGCCCCCCAATAATGTACTTTTGTTTGGACATTCCACACTGGCATCAAGAAGACCGTGAAGTGCAAAAGTACGTACACAACCCAGCACTTGTTTTGATAGGCATCACCATCATCATCGACTGCATAACAGCGTTCAACGCCGATGGTTCATTGCCGTACGTATATGTGCAGTTCGTGGTTGTACGAGGGCTGGGATACTGCCAGAGCGCCCACACCTAGACAGGAGGACGATTAGGGTCCTCAACCAAAGCCTTTGGCTCAAAAGCCTAACCGCAAGGCAGCGGTGTTTGGCGGGGAAATGCAAATGCATTACCTTTTCTACGGAACAAGTCGCCATACATGTTTCAACCCCCAACCTGGAGGGCCAGGAGACTGTGTTCGTCAGACCTCTAACCATTGACCAACCTGGTATGAGAGACTCTGTGAGTGTCGCGAGACACTCTCCAGTATAGCTCAATGGATCGCTGAGGTGTGCAAACCGTCACACCACGGTAAGGCCCAGTTTCTTCGTGACGGGTTGTGATAGGCACGTGATGGCCGTTCTGCCAGGTGAACTGAAACACAAGTTATTTGTTCGTGAATGCCCTATGGTTGCTCGAAGCTGTTAGGAGAAGCTGCTACGCAGTTAGTTTTGGACAAAAACAACCCATCTATCCAAGAGTTGAGAGAGGTCTTCTGCACTTTCAACTAATTCGGTAGAAGAGTGGGCGACCGCCCGATTGTCAGTTTGCCAGTGATTAGGTTCCACACACGTTTTATGCCTTCACTTGTGTCTGCGAAACCGTGCTATGTAAGAGGAGAACTAAACCCACTGTTCGTTCTATCAAATTTACAATTATTTTTGTTACTGCATGGTGACAGATCACTAACTGTCAGTCAACCCTGCCTTTATCCTTAGGGCTCTCAAACAGGAAACAAGAAGCAAGCGATCGAAGCCCAATACGGATGCTCTTTCACCCACCACGGTACGTATTTTTTTCTTTATGTTTTGTTCCGGTCATTTTTATTCGCGCATTGGTTGGGACATGTGTTGCGTATGCCGAACCATCGTTTGCCGAAGAGAGTACTATTTTATTTTC